TTACAGTGGTGATGCTGCTGTAGCACTGTTACAATACATTACTGTCTCTTACAGTGTGTGGTGGTGCTGCTGTAGCACTGTTACAATACATTACTGTCTCTTACAGTGGTGGTGCTGCTGTAGCACTGTTACAATACATTACTGTCTCTTACAGTGGTGGTGCTACTGTAGCACTGTTACAATACATTACTGTCTCTTACAGTGGTGGTGCTACTGTAGCACTGTTACAATACATTACTGTCTCTTACAGTGGTGATGCTGCTGTAGCACTGTTACAATACATTACTGTCTCTTACAGTGTGTGGTGGTGCTACTGTTGCACTGTTACAATACATTACTGTCTCTTACAGTGGTGGTGCTACTGTAGCACTGTTACAATACATTACTGTCTCTTACAGTGGTGATGCTGCTGTAGCACTGTTACAATACATTACTGTCTCTTACAGTGTGTGGTGGTGCTACTGTAGCACTGTTACAATACATTACTGTCTCTTACAGTGTGTGGTGGTGCTACTGTAGCACTGTTACAATACATTACTGTCTCTTACAGTGGTGGTGCTACTGTAGCACTGTTACAATACATTACTGTCTCTTACAGTGGTGATGCTGCTGTAGCACTGTTACAATACATTACTGTCTCTTACAGTGGTGATGCTGCTGTATCACTGTTACAATACATTACTGTCTCTTAGTGTGTGGTGATGCTGCTGTAGCACTGTTACATTACTGTCTCTTACAGTGGTGATGCTGCTGTAGCACTGTTACAATACATTACTGTCTCTTACAGTGTGTGGTGGTGCTGCTGTAGCACTGTTACAATACATTACTGTCTCTTACAGTGGTGATGCTGCTGTAGCACTGTTACAATACATTACTGTCTCTTACAGTGGTGATGCTGCTGTATCACTGTTACAATACATTACTGTCTCTTACAGTGGTGGTGCTACTGTAGCACTGTTACAATACATTACTGTCTCTTACAGTGGTGATGCTGCTGTAGCACTGTTACAATACATTACTGTCTCTTACAGTGGTGATGCTGCTGTATCACTGTTACAATACATTACTGTCTCTTAGTGTGTGGTGATGCTGCTGTAGCACTGTTACATTACTGTCTCTTACAGTGGTGATGCTGCTGTAGCACTGTTACAATATATTACTGTCTTACAGTGTGTGGTGGTGCTGCTGTAGCACTGTTACAATACATTACTGTCTTACAGTGTGTGGTGGTGCTGCTGTAGCACTGTTACAATACATTACTGTCTCTTACAGTGTGTGGTGGTGCTACTGTAGCACTGTTACAATACATTACTGTCTCTTACAGTGTGTGGTGGTGCTACTGTAGCACTGTTACAATACATTACTGTCTCTTACAGTGTGTGGTGGTGCTACTGTTGCACTGTTACAATACATTACTGTCTCTTACAGTGGTGATGCTGCTGTAGCACTGTTACAATACATTACTGTCTCTTACAGTGGTAATGCTGCTGTAGCACTGTTACAATACATTACTGCCTCTTACAGTGTGTGGTGGTGCTACTGTAGCACTGTTACAATACATTACTGTCTCTTACAGTGGTAATGCTGCTGTAGCACTGTTACAATACATTACTGTCTCTTACAGTGTGTGGTGGTGCTGCTGTAGCACTGTTACAATACATTACTGTCTCTTACAGTGTGTGGTGGTGCTGCTGTAGCACTGTTACAATACATTACTGTCTCTTACAGTGGTGATGCTGCTGTAGCACTGTTACAATACATTACTGTCTCTTACAGTGGTGATGCTGCTGTAGCACTGTTACAATACATTACTGTCTCTTACAGTGTGTGGTGGTGCTACTGTTGCACTGTTACAATACATTACTGTCTCTTACAGTGGTGGTGCTACTGTAGCACTGTTACAATACATTACTGTCTCTTACAGTGGTGGTGCTACTGTAGCACTGTTACAATACATTACTGTCTCTTACAGTGGTGGTGCTACTGTAGCACTGTTACAATACATTACTGTCTCTTACAGTGGTGATGCTGCTGTAGCACTGTTACAATACATTACTGTCTCTTACAGTGTGTGGTGGTGCTGCTGTAGCACTGTTACAATACATTACTGTCTCTTACAGTGGTGGTGCTGCTGTAGCACTGTTACAATACATTACTGTCTCTTACAGTGGTGGTGCTACTGTAGCACTGTTACATACATTACTGTCTCTTACAGTGGTGATGCTGCTGTAGCACTGTTACAATACATTACTGTCTCTTACAGTGGTGATGCTGCTGTAGCACTGTTACAATACATTACTGTCTCTTACAGTGTGTGGTGGTGCTACTGTAGCACTGTTACAATACATTACTGTCTTACAGTGTGTGGTGGTGCTGCTGTAGCACTGTTACAATACATTACTGTCTCTTACAGTGTGTGGTGGTGCTGCTGTAGCACTGTTACAATACATTACTGTCTCTTACAGTGTGTGGTGGTGCTACTGTAGCACTGTTACAATACATTACTGTCTTACAGTGTGTGGTGGTGTGCTCTGTAGCACTGTTACAATACATTACTGTCTCTTACAGTGTGTGGTGGTGCTGCTGTAGCACTGTTACAATACATTACTGTCTCTTACAGTGTGTGGTGGTGCTACTGTAGCACTGTTACAATACATTACTGTCTTACAGTGTGTGGTGGTGCTGCTGTAGCACTGTTACAATACATTACTGTCTCTTACAGTGTGTGGGTGGTGCTACTGTAGCACTGTTACAATACATTACTGTCTCTTACAGTGGTGATGCTGCTGTAGCACTGTTACAATACATTACTGTCTCTTACAGTGTGTGGTGGTGCTGCTGTAGCACTGTTACAATACATTACTGTCTCTTAGTGGTGATGCTGCTGTAGCACTGTTACATTACTGTCTCTTACAGTGGTGATGCTGCTGTAGCACTGTTACAATACATTACTGTCTCTTACAGTGTGTGGTGGTGCTACTGTTGCACTGTTACAATACATTACTGTCTCTTACAGTGGTGATGCTGCTGTAGCACTGTTACAATACATTACTGTCTCTTACAGTGTGTGGTGGTGCTACTGTAGCAGTTACAATACATTACTGTCTTACAGTGTGTGGTGGTGCTGCTGTAGCACTGTTACAATACATTACTGTCTCTTACAGTGTGTGGTGGTGCTGCTGTAGCACTGTTACAATACATTACTGTCTCTTACAGTGTGTGGTGGTGCTACTGTAGCACTGTTACAATACATTACTGTCTTACAGTGTGTGGTGGTGCTGCTGTAGCACTGGTACAATACATTACTGTCTCTTACAGTGTGTGGTGGTGCTGCTGTAGCACTGTTACAATACATTACTGTCTCTTACAGTGTGTGGTGGTGCTACTGTAGCACTGTTACAATACATTACTGTCTTACAGTGTGTGGTGGTGCTGCTGTAGCACTGTTACAATACATTACTGTCTCTTACAGTGTGTGGTGGTGCTACTGTAGCACTGTTACAATACATTACTGTCTCTTACAGTGGTGATGCTGCTGTAGCACTGTTACAATACATTACTGTCTCTTACAGTGTGTGGTGGTGCTGCTGTAGCACTGTTACAATACATTACTGTCTCTTACAGTGTGGTGGTGGTGGTGCTACTGTTGCACTGTTACAATACATTACTGTCTCTTACAGTGGTGATGCTGCTGTAGCACTGTTACAATACATTACTGTCTCTTACAGTGTGTGATGGTGCTGCTGTAGCACTGTTACAATACATTACTGTCTCTTACAGTGTGTGGTGGTGCTACTGTAGCACTGTTACAATACATTACTGTCTCTTACAGTGGTGATGCTGCTGTAGCACTGTTACAATACATTACTGTCTCTTACAGTGTGTGGTGGTGCTGCTGTAGCACTGTTACAATACATTACTGTCTCTTACAGTGGTGATGCTGCTGTAGCACTGTTACAATACATTACTGTCTCTTACAGTGTGTGGTGGTGCTACTGTAGCACTGTTACAATACATTACTGTCTTACAGTGTGTGGTGGTGCTGCTGTAGCACTGTTACATACATTACTGTCTCTTACAGTGTGTGGTGATGCTGCTGTAGCACTGTTACAATACATTACTGTCTTACAGTGTGTGGTGGTGCTGCTGTAGCACTGTTACAATACATTACTGTCTCTTACAGTGTGTGGTGATGCTGCTGTAGCACTGTTACAATACATTACTGTCTCTTACAGTGTGTGGTGATGCTGCTGTAGCACTGTTACAATACATTACTGTCTCTTACAGTGTGTGGTGGTGCTACTGTAGCACTGTTACAATGCATTACTGTCTCTTACAGTGGTGGTGCTACTGTAGCACTGTTACAGTACATTACTCTCTCTCACAGTGTGTGGTGGTGCTGCTGTAGCACTGTTACAATACATTACTGTCTCTTAGTGTGTGGTGGTGCTACTGTAGCACTGTTACAATACATTACTCTCTCTTACAGTGTGTGATGGTGCTACTGTAGCACTGTTACAATACATTACTGTCTCTTACAGTGTGTGGTGGTGCTGCTGTAGCACTGTTACAATACATTACTGTCTTACAGTGTGTGGTGGTGCTACTGTAGCACTGTTACAATACATTACTGTCTCTTACAGTGTGTGGTGGTGCTGCTGTAGCACTGTTACAATACATTACTGTCTCTTACAGTGGTGGTGCTGCTGTAGCACTGTTACAATACATTACTGTCTCTTACAGTGTGGTGGTGGTGCTACTGTAGCACTGTTACAATACATTACTGTCTCTTACAGTGTGTGGTGGTGCTACTGTAGCACTGTTACAATACATTACTGTCTCTTACAGTGGTGATGCTGCTGTAGCACTGTTACAATACATTACTGTCTCTTACAGTGTGTGGTGGTGCTGCTGTAGCACTGTTACAATACATTACTGTCTCTTACAGTGTGTGGTGGTGCTACTGTAGCACTGTTACAATACATTATTATCTGTTACAGTGGGTGGAAGTGACTGAGGAGGTGGAGGAGGAGGAAGATTCTCTACAAGAGGTGGTAGCCAGCGACATGGCTAGCGACCACACACTCTACGCTCCTAAACCAGCCTACGACCAACTGGACCAGTACAGGTAAGCTCACCCCTCCCCCTCCCCCATTTTAATGTTCACCCTTCCCCCTCCCCTGTGCTTCATAACACGGACATAACCTACCGACGGAAATGAGGTTGTGATAAACAGGTGTCGGTGACTCCAGAGAAGGGTAGAGGAGAGGCCTCGGACCGCGTCAGACTGTCGGTTTGCAGACCGCGGTTCGGGATCTTCCCTCGTCCACTCTTCTGTTCACATACAACCTACCTTTGTTATAGACGACGTTTCGCCCCCGCACACCACTTCGGTCTGAAGAATCAAGTGGTACTGCAGGCGAAACGTGTCATCAGTAATGATAGCAAGGTGTTGCTTGTCATGGCCCTCTAGAGCTACATTAAACGTTAAGCTACGCTGGTAACGTCCTGGGACAGTAAAGTTACGAACGTGAGGATAGTTGTCAACCTCGCTACGTACACAACGAACGTGTTGTTTTGAACGTTTTGTGTGACTAACGTTGTCAGAAGTAGCCCTCGCATACGTCGTTTGTTACACACTGGTGTACACTTAGTCTGTTGTTAGTCAAATTGTGTTTTGTACGATTGTGCCTCACCTCTCCAAGACTTTTATAAGGACTCGCTGAGTCCTTTATGAGCTCTGAACGGAGCTTTATGAGCTGAGCGGAGCTTTATGAGCTCTCCATAAGTTTATTACCCGTTGGTGTAGATGATTTACGATAGTTTGAGAGGATGGTTTACTACGCTGATACCATCACTGTTACAACACTGGTACCTCGCTCTTCCCCCTCCAGTTTGTATACTTTCATTATGTGCTACACAATCCTGTTTGACCATGTATGCCCGGAGGTGTATGTCTGTGTGGTGTGTATGAACATTGTATTGAACAGGTGATGTGCAGTCTCAGTCACCCTCGTAATAATAATCTTTATTTCTACAAGTACATGATACAACTTAGACCATAAACAAACCATACCACAGGCGGGGATAGAACCCGCGGTCAGTGTGTCTCAAAACTTCAGACCGTCGCATTAGCCATTGGACCAGCTAGCTGGAGATTCGTCTGTAAAAACTTGCATTTGTGGTCACAGTGGTGGCCTATGCTAACCTTCCTATGGTGTAGAAAGCTAACTAGTTTCATGAATTTTATTGTGGTTAGGTGGCCCAGTGGCTAACGTGACGGTCTGGAGTTTTGAGACACACTGACCGCGGGTTCTATCCCTGCCCGTGGTATGGTTTGTTTGCAATCGTGTCATTACGATTTCGTGAGTCATGTAAACAGATCATAGGTAACATCAGTGATACACTTTAGAAAGTCCCTGGATATGCAGAGCATTTCGGGCAAATTAGGTTAGTTTTGTCCTCAGTATGCGACCCACACCAGACTACTAACATCCAGGTACCTACTTCTAGATGAACAGGGAGTGTGTGTGTGTCTTAAGGAAACATGCACAGTGTTTCTACCCGTACCGGGGATCGAACCACGAACCTCTGTGTGAGCTGAGTGTTCCACCAACCCAACTACGGGGCACCTTGATGTGTTGTCAATAGGATTTTAATCCGTTTTGAAAGTATAAACACTAGGACATAATGTCTCGGTGTTGGGTCCTTGATCAAGGACGCTGGAGCCAAACGCGTTCTGATATATCCTAGTGTTTGTTTACGCGTTTTTTCAAACCAGTTTGTGGGTATCTATTACCAAGGTTTATACCAGGCTTTAAATCACATTATTCAATCAACTTTTTCTCGCAACTAAAGGAACCGGGGTTCGATATCCGGTTCAGTGGTAGAGGAAGATCAACTTTGAACCTAGTTCACACGGTAAATAATACTGTCATGGTTGGCATCCTGGGGAAGAGGACCAGAGAGCCCCAGTGGAGATAAGCCACACTGCTTGACTTGTTTTGCTTTAATAACGCGCCAGGCAGCAGGAAGATTATCCTACGTGGAGAGAGGGGAAGAGAGAGAGAGAGAGAGGAGAGAGAGAGAGATAGAGAGATAGATAATTGAGGTAAGGACCACAATGGAAGTAAGTCCCTTTGACGAGTAACAGTATTGATGTGCCTCGTGTAAACAAAAGAACAGATGCAAGTTTCCTGGATCAGCCGGGCTGTGGCTCGTATGTTGGTTTGCGTGCAGCCAGCAGCAACAGCCTGGTTGATCAGGCTCTGATCCACCAGGAGGCCTGGTCTCAGACCGGGCCGCGGGGGCGTTGACCCCCGGAACTCTCTCCAGGTAAACTCCAGGTAAACTCCAGGACACTCACTCCATCCTTCCCTCCCTCTCCATCTCTCCCTCACCGCTGTGAGGGAGAGACTGTGCAAATCTGCAGTGTATTGTTACCATATTCTATATAATAGTTACATTTTAAGGTAATCCATGTTGGTTTGATACCCGGTAATATTTTGTACACAAGTTACTTTGAGAAAAAGTTGTTTGTGTTTGATACGTAAGGTAATATTCTGTATAATAGTTACATTACTGGAACAGTTACTACAGTGGTGGTGTGTAGAGATGCATCAGAATGTTGGTGAGGTATTGAGTGGGCACCCACAGTGTTCAGTACTGGGGCACCTACAGTGTTCACTACTGGGGCACCTACAGTGTTCACTACTGGGGCACCACAGTGTTCAGTACTGAGGCACCCACAGTGTTCACTACTGGGGCACCTACAGTGTTCACTACTGGGGCACCCACAGTGTTCAGTACTGAGGCACCCACAGTGTTCACTACTGGGGCACCCACAGTGTTCAGTACTGAGGCACCCACAGTGTTCACTACTGGGGCACCCACAGTGTTCAGTACTGAGGCACCTACAGTGTTCACTACTGGGGCACCCACAGTGTTCAGTACTGAGGCACCCACAGTGTTCACTGCTGGGGCACCTACAGTGTTCACTACTGGGGCACCCACAGTGTTCAGTACTGAGGCACCCACAGTGTTCGCTACTGGGGCGGCCACAGTGTTCACTACTGGAGCACCCACAGTGTTTTACTGGGGCACTCAGTGTTCAATACTGGGGCACCCACAGTGTTCTACTGGGGCACCCACAATGTTCTACTGGGGCACCCACAATATTCTACTGGGGCACCCACAGTGTTCAGTACTGGGGCACCCACAGTGTTCAGTACTGGGGCACCCACAGTGTTCAGTACTGGGGCACCCACAGTGTTCAGTACTGGGGCACCCACAGTATTCGCTACTGGGGCACCCACAGTGTTCACTACTGGAGCACAGTGTTTTACTGGGGCACCCACAGTGTTCACTACTGGAGCACAGTGTTTTACTGGGGCACCCACAGTGTTCACTACTGGAGCACAGTGTTTTACTGGGGCACCCACAGTGTTCTACTGGGCCACCCACAGTGTTCACTACTGGGGCACCCACAGTGTTCAGTACTGGGGCACCCACAGTGTTCAGTACTGGGGCACCCACAGTGTTCAGTACTGGGGCACCCACAGTATTCGCTACTGGGGCACCCACAGTGTTCACTACTGGAGCACAGTGTTTTACTGGGGCACCCACAGTGTTCTACTGGGCCACCCACAGTGTTCTACTGGGCCACCCACAGTGTTCACTACTGGGGCACCCACAGTGTTCAGTACTGGGGCACCCACAGTGTTCAGTACTGGGGCACCCACAGTGTTCAGTACTGGGGCACCCACAGTATTCGCTACTGGGCCACCCACAGTGTTCACTACTGGAGCACAGTGTTTTACTGGGGCACCCACAGTGTTCTACTGGGCCACCCACAGTGTTCACTACTGGAGCACAGTGTTTTACTGGGCCACCCACAGTGTTCTACTGGGCCACCCACAGTGTTCACTACTGGGGCACCCACAGTGTTCACTACTGGGCCACCCACAGTGTTCACTACTGGAGCACAGTGTTCTACTGGGCCACTCACAGTGTTCAATACTGGGGCACCCACAGTGTTCTACTGGGCCACCCACAGTGTTCACTACTGGGGCAGGTCTTGCTACACTAGATGTTCTCTGGGTATGTTTGTAACTACAGGAGCGGAACTATGATGGTAGTAGAGCCTGGACTATGGCCGGTCTCTGGAAGTAAGAAAAGCTCAAGGAACTTATCAAAGGTATTTTACAAAAAAGTCTGACATTCTTAGTATACAGTAAACTTTCTCATTAAGCTCTATATAGAGTGCCATTTTATTTGTAAATGCCATTGAAAAAAGGCATCGAAAATTAAATAGGACGTGGATGCATTTCTCAGGTGCCATTGTTATATATATCACTATATATTGCACTATATAGAATAACTATAGAAGTGACTACTGTGTTCTTCTGTATCATATACCTGTGACGAGTGTCGAGTGTTTTCTTACTCACAGCTGGGCCTTGATTCAGGCTTGTCTGGTGCTTGCCTGGTTAACCAGGCTGTTGCTACTGGTGGCCCGCTGTCCCACATATCCATAGCCTGGTTGACTTGCCATTTGGTGGAGATACTTGTCCAGTTTCCAATTTAGATGTTAGGACAACATGTTTATGATAGAATATCGACTTAAGTGACCCTTCCCAGGCGTTTTTAACCAGAGGAGATAGTATGTATGTCACTTTTATCTGCTACATCTCTTTTTGTGTTCCTTTGTATCATCATATCTGTGTATGTCATTATTTTTACCAGCTGCACCACTTGAATTGATCATGTATCATTGCACGCTGCAAGGATGTCACGCAAGTTGTCTGTGCTACACGAGGAAGCTGAGGACGTATTATCGTGTAGTTCAACCATGTCATCGAGATCTCCCATTCAGCCAGCGGGGAGGTCACCAGCACCATCCGCACACTCAGCCACTACCGTGGATGATCCCACTTCCTCCCCGTTCACCATCTGTCACACTGACAGGGAAAGCCATGACAACGTCGCAGTTATTGGTGATGATGTGATGCCTCATCACTGCTTCATGTTACCACTCACCGCAGCAAATGATGACCCGTGTGATGATGGTAGCGGCCTTCTCCTCTCACCACAATCCATCACTTCACAGATGCTGGCGCTGGCATCTCCCGTCTCTCCCTTCTCTTCCTCGTCTCCCTTCTCAACGTCTCTTGAAGACTTGCCATCTGCCGCAGGCATGGAAACCACTTTCTTACAGGAAACAGATGAAAAACACAACCACGATGGAGACTTCCGTCACCAGGATATCGGGGAACGACTGAGTATGTCATCCTTGACGGAGTCTGCCGATCTAACCTTTGAATCACATTCTGAAGCTGTGAAACATTATTTACCACAAGACATGAGCATGGCACAGCAGGTAAAGTTGACTAGCGGAGCACAACATGACACCAGAGGATGGAAACCTCAGGAATATGCAACGTGCAAAATGTCGAAGTCAGTCTCTGGCGACTATTACAGCTTAGTGGATGAATGTCAGGAGAGCGAGACGCGGCCCTTATTAAGCATTGGAGAGGAAGCAGGAGTACAACAACAACGTCGGAGGTCAACTGGCACCATGAACCACCGGGGAATCTCTCCTTCCTCCTCCTCAGCATCTGGACGAAGTCTCTCCTACTCCCGGCCACTGCAATTAGGTTCTGTGGCTCCAACCGTTCAGAGCATTGTAGCCCCGTCATCAACAGTGGCGTGCTCAGTTATAGCTTGTGTTGACTCTCTTAAGAACGACAGTGTTTCAGATTTCCTTGCCGGAGACTCTTTAACGCGTCGTGATTCTCTGACCTTGCCACCAGGACCGGCCAAACTCTGGTGGACGCCGCGCTCGCGCGCGGCATCTCCATTGTTTTCTTCTGCTGAGTCATCACCGCTTGGGTCCCCAGCGTACCGTACACCACCTGAAGGCACTCCGTGGTCTACTCCGCGTCCCTCACTAGAGTACACTCCTGCGCTGGAGGGTCGTCTGGATGCTACACCAAGTGGAGAAAGCAACATTTCTGACAGTCAACTAGACGGTACACCGTTCCACACCCCTAGACCGTCCCTCACGCCCCGGCCGTCCCTGGTGCTAGAGCCCAGCGAGGGACCCCCTTGTATGCTCCTACTGGCTGGAGACGAGCCTTCACGGAGCCCTGGGCTTCCCTGCACGTTCAGAATTCGTCATGACTCTGATTCTCCGCAGGATGAGATCTGGACACAGGCATACTCCTTCAGTAGCTTCAACGGGCACTCACCAGGGCATGACTTACCTGGCGGGGCATTTTCACTGCCCACACGACCCGAGAAACACTTAGCAGGCAGAGAGTCACCAGTGTTATCCGACAAGGAGCGTACTACTGCACCAGCCCTAACACTTGCACAAGAAGAGTAGTGACGCCTGGTGATCATTACTGATATACAACTAGTGACTAGTACCGGGTATCGTGGCACCAACAAACTGGAAATGAAATTAGGCTACGTTTCGGCCTGTCTTGGACTTGGTAATGGTTTAGGACGGAGTGAAACATTGCCTGATTTGTAAGTTGCAAAATACATAGTCTAGAATCGTGTGATGGTGCAATCTTGCAGTGTGTTGACCAAAGAAACACATTGATGACTACTGGAGTGAGGCGTAATACCTCACCTATCACATTAGTGAGGTATAATACCTCACATATCACATTAGTGAGGTATAATACCTCACCTATCACATTAGTGAGGTGTAATACCTCACCTATCACACCAGTGAGGTGTTCTCTCATTATTATTATTATTATTATTATTATTATTATTATATTATTATTATATACACTAATATTATTAACACTATTATTATATTAACACTAATATTATTATATTAACACTAATATTATTATATTATTATTAACACTATATATGGAACCTAAAATTGCGTTAATTTAGGTTAACGTTAACAAAAGTTATGCAAATTTAGCGTTAACGCAACGAAGTTGAGGTTTAGGCTGGTGGCAGATAGATGGTAAACTTGCAGGATAGACGGAGGTATAGAACGTGGAGAAACACACGATCTGTGTTTGTGTTGTGAAGACGGGTCGTAGAGGAAGGAAGTATCTCACAAGACGAAGACTTGACACATTTGGGAATTTTATTGAGGCAACGTTTCGCCAGCCAGTGGCTTCTTCAGTCCAATACAGAGAAGAACGATGGAAGACGAGGAGTAGTTTGAGGTAATCAGTCCCTCAGCCTGGAGTTGATATTTTCAGTCCAATCAAGATTGATTGTCTGAACACATTGACTGAAGGCTGAGGGACTGATTACCTCAAACTCCTCATGTTTCTCCATTCTCTGTATTGAGCTGAAGAAGCCACTGGCTGGCGAAACGTTGCCTCAGTAAAGATTTCCAATATAGCACAAGTGTCTCATTCTTGTCAGTTTTGTGTAGCATTTATATAACATCTGACAAGACACACGTCACCTGCCCACCCCGTCCTCACGTTACTTCAGGAACAACAACAGACATGAACACGTCTCTCACCGCCTCCAAAACACACGTCAAGTGACGCAACTCTTATAAAAGAATTTATTGAAACAGTCACGTAAATAAGTGTTTGTGTTTTCAAACTGTGTTTTTGATCAAAACTGAAAAATGAAGCCTCGGCCTTATTATGTGTGAGTCGCGACCTACATACAACTTGAAGAATTCTTACAGCCATTGTGTGTGTTGCGGTCAACTTACAACTTATATTGTTAAATTTTCACTTCCATTTAGAGGAAAGAGTTTCAGAGATGACCTGCATTATGTTTTTAAGTTTATGTGAACTCGCAAGTAAACAGAGTTTGTGATTGAAAAACCATGTGTGGAATGAGCAGAGAGTGATCCACGACGCGTCTCTTAACACACGACTCTTTCGTTTTGCTTCTTTCATTATTCAGTTTTATCTACAATGTTTTTTTTGTGTATTAAAAAGTTATTTAGATATACAAGCACAAAATGTGAATATGTAATTGTATGGAAGATACGGTAGTCTTGCAACGTGTGTGTGTGTGTGAGTGTGAGAGAGAGAGAGAGATTGTGAGTGTGTATAAGAGTGAAATGAAGTTAGATTGTAATCGATCGAGTCAGAGTACTTGGCAATGACAGTGTTAGAATGGGAGTACATAGGAGTGGGAGAGGGCAGGATGATCCTAGTGTAGACCATCTCTCTCACTCTTCCTCACATTAATCACTAGCGCACAATTCTCCTCCACTAAGTGAGGCTGAGTGCTATCATACCACAGCACAGTGTTCTTTCTACTCTTACTCCTGTCAAGAGTAGTCAACTTATATAATAAGAGTACACTCATCTATATTACCATAATACACACATTTTAAGAGGCACATAAGTACCCCTGTCTTATAATAACATGTACATTATCCATAATTACTGTCGCATTTGCTTTGTGTCGTAAGGTAAAGTCTAGGACAGTTGTGAGGACAGTTATGTTGCATTGGTGTGAGCAAAGCTCACACCTCTGTGACACCGTTGTCCTCAAAAATCTGTTAAGTTATACCATGAATTAAGGAAAGATCCTGGACAAGGTAGATTATAGTGGAAAAATGAACATGTTATTAGTAGACGGGGAACTTGGGTGCCTTTTAAGGACTTTGTGGATAGCAAAAGGTAGTGAGTAGCTACACAGGAAATATTTTCATCTACTGCAGTATTCTAAGATTCCATTCTATGAATGAACACTGACTATTAGCTTGTAGGGAATGCCTCGTTGGGTTAACACAGTGTAAGTTGTATAACAGCCTTCAAAACTAATATTTCTATAGTTCTAACTTGATATATTTATAATACTGTGAGAGAATCTATTCTGGTTGTATTCTATAAGGTTTTTATATTTCAACAAGACTGTATAATGGCGATGAATATATATAGTGTAAAATATACAAGATGGAAGTTGTAGTAATATATCATATATTAAGTAACTAATGTTTCTCTCAACCATGTGATCTTTTCTGTTTTATTCTCACGAGGAGTGATCAAGTAAGTGTCACCTACACTTGTATTACACACACTTTCTCACACACTATCCATAATCTATATGTTTTACACTATGGGAACAACAGTTTTCCATCACATATGATAGGGTTCATGCACGAGGTAATGTTCCGTGTGTTAATTACATTGTGGGAACAAAAATGATCTGATTTTCTCGTTAAATTCCGTTGCACAAGATGAGCTTCGTATATGAGATCCAAATATGGGATTACTGCTAGTAATTCATTGTTAAAAAGCAATACACATCAGATTCATGATACTCTTACGTGTTAAATACACATCGTTAGATCAGTGATCCCTCCTTTATTTAAACTTAAAGGGAATGGAGTGTTGGGTACCTAGTGTAGTAATCATGATATCAAAGGTAAACACTTGAAGTATGTAATAAGACACAGTAATAACGTTCGTCACCGCTTAGTCAATCTTAATGGACGAAACGTTTCTAAGTGTCTTAAACCTTATCAAGTCACAACCGAAAGTCACGACAAAACGTCGAAAGCCTTGTCACTAGTGTTCGTTATTGTGATTGTTCCTTCAATGTGACTTATTAGTGTTTGATTATGCAGGGAGGCAACAGAAAGGCTGGGACAGAACATCGCAGGACTGGTCTCACCACTGTCTCCCTCAGGTTGTAAATCAGTATACCAGTTTCGTGTTACTTGTGTTTTAGGGGCCATTGACAAACATGATGTTGGGTACCTTCTTCGGTTTAAAGTCTACTGACAGCATATTCTGTATCTTGTGGTTTATAAGGGCCACTGACAACATACGTTGTATCTTGTTGTGGTTTATAAGGGCCGCTGACAACATACGTTGTATCTTGTTGTGGTTTATAAGGGCCGCTGACAACATACGTTGTATCTTGTTGTGGTTTATAAGGGCGCTAACAACATACGTTGTATCTTGTTGTGGTTTATAAGGGCCGCTGACAACACGTTGTATCTTGTTGTGGTTTATAAGGGCCACTGACAACAATACAGTTTTATCTAGTTCTAGGAATTAGGAATAGCTTTCCCTTGTATGAAAGTTGATTCTCTCTCATTATCTATTTGTTGTATGACCCTTTCTGGCATAGTGCCTTACATTAAAGTTGATAATATTAGCACTATGATTAAATGCACTCACCTAATCGAGGTTGCAGGGGTTGAGTCACAGCTCCTGGCCCCACCTCTTCACCGATTGTAAAAGAGTTTCTTAGTGTCTTATTGTATCTTACTGTCTCCTGCTCGGTTTACTACTGTTCCGCCTCTTCCTCTCCCCCTCTTCCTCTTTTCCCTCTTTCTCCTCTCCCACTTCTCTTCGTTCATTGTCAATATCATTGTTGTGTTTAGGTGGGTGGGAGCAGCGAGAGTGAGGAGAGTGAACAAGAACTGAAGACTCGAACCACCAGACGCCAACGACCTCACATCACCCACCTACAGCAACCATCCCAAGCTGTGAGTATCCCTTCCAACACTGCACTAACTCACCACCACATCTAACACAAATTGGCAATGAAAAGTACACTTGAAGGGCAGGCCTGGTCCAAGACCAAGACCTGGTCCAGAACCAAGGCCTGGTCCAGGAACAAGACCTGGTCCAGGACCAAGACCTGGCCAAGGATCAAGACCTGGTCAAGGATCGACTGGTCCAGGACCAAGACCTGGTCCAGGACTAACTGCCCCAGACTAAAGGCCTGGCCAGACAAGACCTGCTCCAGGACTAAGGCCTGGTCCAGGACCAAGACCTGCTCCAGGACTAAGGCCTGGTCCAGGAGCAAGACCTGCTCCAGGACCTAGACCTGCTCCAGGACTAAGGCCTGGTCCAGGACCAAGACCTGCTCCAGGACCAAGACCTGGTTCAGGATCAAGACCTGGTTCAGGATCAAGACCTGGTCCAGGACCAAGGCCTGGTCCAGGACTAAGGCCTGGTCCAGTACCAAGACCTGGTCCAGTACCAAGACCTGTCCAGTACCAAGACCTGGTTCAGGATCCAGACCTGTCCAGTACCAAGACCTGGTCCAGTACCAAGACCTGGTCCAGTACCAAGACCTGGTCCAGGACTAAGGCCTGGTCCAGGACCAAGGCCTGGTCCAGGACCAAGGCCTGGTCCAGTACCAAGACCTGGTCCAGTACCAAGGCCTGGTCCAGTACCAAGACCTGGTCCAGTACCAAGCCTGGTCCAGTACCAAGACCTGGTCCAGTACCAAGACCTGGTCCAGACCAAGACCTGGTCCAGTACCAAGACCTGGTCCAGGATGGACGAAGTTAGTTGTTGTTTGCAGTGTTGACACGACTTTATTCTACTTAGCCTCTAAGTTCAAACATTTACTAACTCTAGCATAGTTTTTGTATTGTATTTTATTAATAAAAGTTTAAAAAAAGATAAATCTAATACGTTATTGATCTATAATTGTTAATATTGTAGTTTGTCTAACTTATAATATTTTGTAGTCTATGGAGCGACTGTTGTAGTTAATTGTTTGTAATAGATTTTGTTAGTAATGAAGTTAATATTCGTGCATCAAGGTACCTTGATGCAGGTACCTAACCTCTCAAGGAAGGTGCTTGATCTTTGTAGGAATGGTATGTGGTACACACCAGTACATGATTAAGGCACGTATATAACACTGTGGTATCTTTATTATTATACCCGTAAACGGTCCAAACGTATATATACGTTTTTTCAACATTTGAAAGTATGTAAATAAAGTAGATCTTTTTGTTTTTTTACATTTGAAAATGTGTAAAAATAACTTAGATCTAATTTTGTAGCGCTACACATGTGGACGTAGATCTGCTGGGACAGTTTACGGGTTTAAACGTAGTCGACTTAAGGAGCTCCTGCACAGGTCTGATTATTATTATTATTATTATAATCAAGGGGGAAGCGCTAAACCTGGAGGATTATACAGCGCCTAGGGGGGGATGTGGAAGGCATTCAGGCTTAATTCGGGGAACTGGAGCACAGATCCAATTCCCTAAATCAAGAGCCCCTCACCAATATCAAGGAACCTTCCTTGAGGGGTGCACAGGTCTGAGCTTCACTCAGACTTCACCTTACGAAAGCAGACGAAGCAGATGCGATAGTAATTATGGACAAGGTAGATTGTAGGAAAAATAAACATATTAGAAAACAGGGGAACTGACGTGACCCTTAAGTGCCTGGTCAGGAGAGATTTTCCCTGACCAGTAAAACAGGTGATTCCTACGACAGGAACTTGACGTAGCACCGTTGTCTCCGCCACCGTCACTGGAGAACGCTGAAGAGGAGGACTCGCCTATCAAAGAGGAGCCTCATCTACCATCCACGCCGGAGTCTGGCTCATCCGTAACCTCGTCTGAACTTTTCTCCCGCTTGACTCAGAGGGCAGCCTTGACGAGTGTCACCTCCAGTGATGACACTTGTGGTGCTTCCTCCGCAGCCAGGACCACCTCCGTCAGCTGCATACTGACGGAGGTGCCTGCACACGGTGACACTCAAGACAACCCCACCACGTCAACCTCCTCCACTCAACAACCTTCCAACCCCACCACCTCAGCCGACGAGGTAAACATTAAGAATCACTTCTAGCTTGGCTTTGAATATACAACTTGGCTGCATGTCCTCGCCTTATTTTGCCACTTTTTCATTTTGATATATTTAACACGGCTTTAAAACATGCAGTATATGTGACCTTAAGCTATACGAAAGCTGTTTAACTAAACTAAAGAGTCGAATTGCCTAAACCCTCTTGGTGCTTCTAGGTACATATATGCATGTCGGTAATTCCACTAGGCGGGATTTAACTTATTTCGCATTTGTTATGAATATTTGCATTCAGTGAAAACGTTACATATGAGACAGGATGCTACACCACTGCTGGTGTAACTAAAGGATGCTGGCTTCACAGCGTTGTGTCTGTCTCGATGTTGTATGAAATATTCTCGTGTAGTTCAGTATGGGACAGTGATGAGCATTGGCTGGACTTTCAGTGAGGTAAGTATGAATGTCCAATGAGTATATGAGTGGTTCTTATTGCCAAAACGTTTCGCCTGATCAGTAGGCGTCTTCAGTCGAAATATAGAGGTGATTAAATACTGGAGACAACAGTAGTGGGGAGGTAAATATACGGTGATCAGTTGTTTAGCCTTGAAGATGTTTGAGGTGGTCAGTCCCTCAGCCTTGGTCGTGTTCACATCCCATCATGACCCTGAACCATACACAAGACTGAGGGACTGATTACTTCACATTTACACTACTACTGTTGTCTAAAGTATTTAGTCAACTCTGCTTTATGACTGAACAAACCTGATCATCTAGGCAAAGATACCGAAGTGTTGTACAAGTTGGTATTATATACACTTAATATAATGATATTCTTATACTTATTACAGTTTTACTGTTCTTACTCTGTTTCACTGTTCTTTGTTTCACTGTTCTTACTCTTTCACTGTTCTTACTGTTTCACGGTTCTTACTCTTTCACTGTTCTTACTGTTTCACGGTTCTTACTCTTTCACTGTTCTTACTGTTTCACGGTTCTTACTCTTTCACTGTTCTTACTCTCAGTTTATTGCTGTTTTCTGTACCTTGTATCTGCTGTCACTTGTCTTGCATTCATATGTTTGGTGTTCTAACTTCACCTGTGTTCCTTCTAACACCTGTTCATTGCTTCTGACTTCGTGTTCTCCATTGTTTTCGTTCTCTGTACTTCATGAGTGTTCTACATTGTTCTGATGTTCACGTGTAAGTGTTTTTGGCCCTTCATCCAGGTGACAGGTGTTAGCACATATAATGAAGGTGTTGGTTAGCACTTGTGCACTTGTCATATAGATGTTAGTCGGTCAACACCTGTTATCCAGGTGTAGGCCAACACGTGTCATCCAGGCGTCAGTCAACACGTGTCATCCAGGTGTCGGCCAACACGTGTCATCCAGGCGTCAGTCAACACGTGTCATCCAGGTGTCAGCCAACACGTGTCACCCGGGTTTGTCGGCCAAAAACGTGTCATCCAGGTGTCGGCCAACACGTGTCATCCAGGCGTCAGCCAACACGTGTCATCCAGGTGTCGGCCAACGTGTGTCATCCAGGTGTCAGCCAACGTGTCATCCAGGTGTCAGTTACGTGTCAGCCAACACGTGTCATCCAGGTGTCGGCCAACACGTGTCATCCAGGTGTCAGCCAACACGTGTCATCCAGGTGTCAGTTAACACGTGTCATCCAGGTGTCGGCCAACAGGTGTCATCCAGGTGTCAGTCAACACGTGTCATCCAGGTGTCAGTCAACACGTGTCATCCAGGTGTCAGCCAACACGTGTCGTCCAGGTGTCAGCCAACACGTGTCATCCATGTGTCAGCCAACACGTGTCATCCATGTGTCAGCCAACACGTGTCATCCAGGTGTCAGCCAACACGTGTCATCCAGGTGTCAGCCAACACGTGTCGTCCAGGTGTCAGCCAACACGTGTCATCCATGTGTCATCCAACACGTGTCATCCATGTGTCAGCCAACACGTGTCATCCAGGTGTCAGTTAACACGTGTCATCCAGGTGTCAGCCAACACGTGTCATCCAGGTGTCAGCCAACACGTGTCATCCAGGTGTCAGCCAACACGTGTCATCCAGATGTCATCCAACACGTGTCAGCCAACACGTGTCATCCAGGTGTCAGTCAACACGTGTCATCCAGGTGTCAGCCAACACGTGTCATCCAGGTGTCGGCCAACACGTGTCATCCAGGTGTCAGTTAACACGTCATCCAGGTGTCAGCCAACACGTGTCATCCAGGTGTCAGTTAACACGTGTGTCATCCAGGTGTCTGCCAACACGTGTCATCCAGGTGTCAGTCAACACGTGTCATCCAGGTGTCAGCCAACACGTGTCATCCAGGTGTCAGTCAACACGTGTCATCCAGGTGTCAGTCAACACGTGTCATCCAGGTGTCAGTCAACACGTGTCATCCAGGTGTCGGCCAACACGTGTCATCCAGGTGTCAGTTAACACGTGTCATCCAGGTGTCAGTCAACGTGTCGGCCAACACATGTCATCCAGGTGTCGGCCAACACGTGTCATCCAGGTGTCGGCCAACACGTGTCATCCAGGTGTCAGTCAACACGTGTCATCCAGGTGTCAGCCAACACGTGTCATCCAGGTGTCAGCCAACACGAGTCATCCAGGTGTCGGCCAACACGTGTCATCCAGGTGTCGGCCAACACGTGTCATCCAGGTGTCGGCCAACACGTGTCATCCAGGTGTCAGCCAACACGTGTCGTCCAGGTGTCAGCCAACACGTGTCGTCCAGGTGTCAGTCAACGTGTCATCCAGGTGTCGGCTAACACGTGTCATCCAGGTGTCGGCCAACACGTGTCATCCAGGTGTCAGTTAACGGATCATCCAGGTGTCGGCCAACACATGTCATCCAGGTGTCAGCCAACACATGTCATCCAGGTGTCAGCCAACACGTGTCATCCAGGTGTCAGTTAACACGTGTCATCCAGGTGTCGGCCAACACATGTCATCCAGGTGTCAGTTAACACGTGTCATCCAGGTGTCAGTTAACACGTGTCATCCAGGTGTCAGTTAACGTGTCATCCAGGTGTCGGCCAACACGTGTCATCCAGGTGTCGGCCAACACGTGTCATCCAGGTGTCAGTCAACGTGTCATCCAGGTGTCAGCCAACACGTGTCATCCAGGTGTCAGTTAACGTGTCATCCAGGTGTCGGCCAACACGTGTCATTCAGGTGTCAGTCAACGTGTCATCCAGGTGTCAGCCAACACGTGTCATCCAGGTGTCGGCCAACACGTGTCATCCAGGTGTCGGCCAACACGTGTCATCCAGGTGTCAGTTAACGTGTGTCATCCAGGTGTCGGCCAACATGTGTCATCCAGGTGTCAGTTAACGTGTGTCATCCAGGTGTCGGCCAACATGTGTCATCCAGGTGTCAGCCAACACGTGTCATCCAGGTGTCGGCAACACGTGTCATCCAGGTGTCAGCCAACACGTGTCATCCAGGTGTCAGTCAACGTGTCATCCAGGTGTCGGCCAACACGTGTCATCCAGGTGTCAGTCAACTTGTCATCCAGGTGTCAGCCAACACGTGTCATCCAGGTGTCAGCCAACACGTGTCATCCAGGTGTCGGCCAACACGTGTCATCCAGGTGTCAGTTAACACGTGTCATCCAGGTGTCGGCCAACACGTGTCATCCGGTTCGGCCAACACGTGTCTCCAGGTGTCAGTCAACGTGTCATCAGGTGTCAGCCAACACGTGTCACCCCGGGTTTGTCACCCAAAACACGTGTCACCCAGGTGTCGGCCAACACGTGTCATCCAGGTGTCAGTTAACACGTGTCATCCAGGTGTCGGCCAACACGTGTCATCCAGGTGTCGGCCAACACGTGTCATCCAGGTATCGGCCAACACGTGTCATCCAGGTGTCGGCCAACACGTGTCATCCAGGTGTCGGCCAACACGTGTCATCCAGGTGTCAGCCAACACGTGTCATCCAGGTGTCAGTTAACACGTGTCAGCCAACACGTGTCATCCAGGTGTCAGCCAACACGTGTCATCCAGGTGTCAGCCAACACGTGTCATCCAGGTGTCAGCCAACACGTGTCATCCAGGTGTCAGCCAACACGTGTCATCCAGGTGTCAGCCAACACGTGTCATCCAGGTGTCAGTTAACCGTGTCAGCCAACAGTGTCATCCAGGTGTCAGCCAACACGTGTCTCCAGGTGTCAGCCAACACGTTGTCATCCAGGTGTCAGCCAACACGTGTCATCCAGGTGTCAGCCAACACGTGTCATCCAGGTGTCAGTTAACACGTGTCAGCCAACACGTGTCATCCAGGTGTCAGCCAACACGTGTCATCCAGGTGTCAGCCAACACGTGTCATCCAGGTGTCAGGCAACACCTGCTGTGTCTTGCACACTTGCCGTCAGCCTCCTACATCGTCTCCTCTACAGTCTTACACTAGCGTCTTATATGCACAAGCGTTACATTAATTTTTAAACTACCTAAGTGTATCATTGTGACATTATTGCAGCGTTAATAATAGTAGTAAGGTAGTAGTAGTGATAGTAGTGTGGTGGTTGTAGTGAGAATTGTAATGATAGAAGTGTGGTGGTTGTAGTGAGAGTTGTAATGATAGTGTGTTGGTTGTGTAGTACAGTATATAACTGGTTGTGTGTCAGGGTTATGGGAGATTGAGGATAGTACAATATATAACTATGGTTGTGTGTGTCAGGGTTATGGGAGATTGAGGATAGTACAATATATAACTATGGTTGTGTGTGTCAGGGTTATGGAAGAGTGATGGTAGTACAATATAACTATGGTTGTGTGTGTCAGGGTTATGGAAGAGTGATGGTAGTACAATATATAACTATGGTTGTGTGTGTCAGGGTTATGGAAGAGTGATGGTAGTACAATATAACTATGGTTGTGTGTGCCAGGAAGGCTCGGTGGGTGGAGGAGAGAGATGCCAGTCTTGCTGTACAGTCTTCCCCTCACTCCAAGACAACCATCTTAGAGCTGCTGGTCTCTTGAGAGACGACTCCATACCGTAAGTATTATTATTATATTATTATCGACACTTGTCACTTTTTCTCCCTAACACCTTGGCAACCACTATCACCACAACATTTACCACATCCATCACCAGTATCACTACCACCATTGTCATCACCATTGCTCACCATCATACACGGGAACTGAAACTTGAGGTTGGTCTCCGACCTGTCGACTAGAGGCCGACACTGGTGTACTTACCTTTTTATATTTTATGTTTTGTACTTTACCTGCTGAAGAGAACCTCAAGTTCACCTTTTAAATCTTTGAATTCATATGTATATCCTGTAGTAGCTTGGTTCTCATCAGCTGGTCCACGGACCCCTACAATGCTCTTTAATTTTTGCTTAAATTCTTACATTTACATTTATGTTTCTGTCTTGTGTCTTTATATTGTGCGAAACTTTGCTTCATGTATTGATTTTCCAGCCAATGATATATTTTCTCTTATCCATGAACATCTGTTATTATCAGATAATGCAGGGATCAGGGGAATTGATGTTAGCAATGGTTGGTGGTACTGGGAGAAGTTTGGTACCTCAGTAGTAATGTAAGATGCCAGGGATGGTGATACTTGTAGGTGGTATCTCAGTATATGAAGTGAACTGTGGTGGTAGGCAGTGTACGCTCACACTTTACCACAAGTCTGAGGTGCTGTTCTGTCTACCACAAGTCTGAGGTGCTGTTCTGTCTACCACAAGTCTGAGGTGCTGTTCTCAGTCTACCACAAGTCTGAGGTGCTGTTCTCAGTCTACCACAAGTCTGAGGTGCTGTTCTCAGTCTACCAAAGTCTGAGGTGCTGTTCTCAGTCTACCACAAGTCTGAGGTGCTGTTCTCAGTCTACCACAAGTCTGAGGTGCTGTTCTCAGTCTACCACAAGTCTGAGGTGCTGTTCTCAGTCTACCACAAGTCTGAGGTGCTGTTCTCAGTCTACCACAAGTCTGAGGTGCTGTTCTCAGTCTACCACAAGTCTGAGGTGCTGTTCTTAGTGTAAGGTAAGGTAAGAGATAAGAATTTCTTCGGATTTTTAACCCTGGAGGGTTAGCCGCCCAGGATAACCCAGGAAAGTCAGTGCGTCATCGAGGACTGTCTTCTCTTATTTACATTGTGGTCCTCAATCTTGTCCCCCAGGATGCCACCCACACCAGTCCACTAACACCCAGGTACCTGTTTGCTGCTAGGTGAACATGACAACAGGTGTAAGGAAACACGTCGAAATGCTTCCACTCCACCGGGAATCGAACCCGGGCCCTCAGTGTGTTAAGCGAGAGCTTTAGCCACCAGGGTCCTATTCTCAGTGTACGTTAAGTTACATTACTAAGAAGTGTACGTCTTGTATAATAGCCGCTGTCTAGGTGTCTGTGATGTTGACACAGGTACTGGACAGTGATCAGTGGTATGACATACCCACACGATGTTAAATAAACACAAATGGATAACATACCCACACAATGTTAAATAAACACAAGTAATGCGTAATCAAACAGATGTATTTTTGACTTGATAAAGGTCACTGTGTGGGCGAAACGTTGTTAATATAGGATCACATTATACTGCATTTGTCTGTTTCTCCAGATGCTAGACCTTGAGAATATTTACTTTGCACATAATATAGATGACAAGCATATTGCTTGCTAGTTTCTACACGGCTCTTGCCTTTACTTCACAACCGAGAGATCCGAGTTTAATCTTGGAGTGGGTGGAAACATTAGTGATTTTCTCCTTACATCTGTTGCCTGTGGGAATGTCAGGCATGTTGCCCTAACATCTGTTGCCTCTATTCACATAGGAGTAAATAGGTACCTGGGTGTTAGTCGACTGGTGTGATATCTTGGGAAGAGCACCTAAGGACCTACAGTGGAAATAAGCCACATGGATTAACTTAGGTTATCCTGGGTCAACAAGTCCCTTCGGTGGGTATATATTGATCCACATGAGAGGGTTCCTAATCCAAGAAATTGTAACTCATTCCAGCGGATCAAATCTGGCGTTGACAGTGGTAGGAAAGTGTTGCTGGGCAGCGTGTTGGGTCCTACCTGAAGGAGGTGGCACAAGTGGAGTTGTGGGAGGGGAAGGTGGTGGTAGTGGAGGAGAGGTGTAGTGGAGGTAGTGAAGGCAGTGTGTGTAGAGCGTGTGTGTGAGACAGTGGTGTGCTCTCTGCTGCTGTCTATACTGCTGCTGTTAGCATCCCATATAGCTCTCATCCTGTTGCTTAGTTTAGTATTGATTACAGACTTTACTGACGTGCATAGGTCAGTAATCAGCAGCAGCAGCTATACGTGCGTGGATGCACAAGTGTGTGCAGCAGTGTCAGAATAGTTCACCTGGTACTTGAAACATCCTCTTCACTGCTGCTAGTGTCCTCTTACCATTCTCTTATGCTGTTGTTGAAACAATACCCTGGCTAAAACACTTTACAACTATTGTTATGGTCTTAATTGAACAATACCCTGGCTACAACACTTTACAACTATTGCTATGATCTTTAACAATACCTTAATTAGAACAATTAACCTACAAATTAAAAATAAAAACTCAACTTTTTTTTCTACTCGGTTCTCGAACGATATATAAAATCGTTCTTCGTGTGATGTTAAATTCTTGTTCTTCGCTTGAAAGAACTCGCAGTACCGTATCTAGAACAGTTCACAACTAGAAATGTAAATTTCACTGCTTTTCGATCTGTTTTTGGACATATAAATAGTTGCTTTCTTCTCGTATTTGACAGCTTATCCAAAATTTGACCGTGGATTTCTTTGAGCAGGAGAGGTAAAGATTAGTGAGGTGTGAAGCATCAGCGGTCAAGACAGATAATTACGTATATCAATAAGTTGTGATTTCTTGTTTATAACTGTAATTAATTACTATTGTGTTAGGAAATAGGGTGACTAATGAGGTTTTTGTGGAGATGTGCTAATGTGTAATTGTTATAGGGTAGCAGCAATGTCCTGCTACCCTATTCTATATACTAGTTACATAGTGGGAACAAAAGCTAGGTATGTTTCCCCTGTCTTCCATCACACAGGACGGGTTACATAGTGTTGACAAGTGTCAGTCTGACCTGGGAGACTTCAGTAGGGCGATGATTCGTTACAGCACAAAGGGTATTTGATGTTAATGATACAGTAAGCTCAGAAATATGGAAACTATACTAGGTTACAGGAATTAAAACACAAATCAACTGAAGAATTTTGATCAGTGTTGAGATACTGAACTAGCTAGAGCTCGAGGAAGAGGAGGCAAATTTTATCCTGGACTTGTCCTCTGAAGACGTTTTGATCCTTGGAGGTAGATCACTTCAGATACATGAAAGTCCTAAAGCAAGATATTAAAGGTCTTTTAAGTGAATTTAAGCAACTAAGAAGCAACTACGACAGCCGAGGAGGCGGCACCAGGAGCTGGAGTATAACCTTGACAAGCTTAGGTTAGAATACGTACTCGCGTGTACTTGTGGCAAATCCAGTTGGTGTCAGTCGCGTGAAATGTTACACGTTAGTGCCGTAGACTTGTGTCTGAAGGAAATCATTTGCATGGCCTCTCATGCAGGGATCAAATTCTAGCTCCTGGCCCTCGAATCTTCACTTTAAGATGTTTGGTTAACAGAATATTAGGGAAAAACCTGATGTTAAATTTCAATAATGTGGTAGCGTAAACAGTAAAGCTCATTTGGACATTATTATTATTATTATTATTAATATTATTATTATTATTATTATTATTATTATTAGGAAGATGGAAAAAATCATACATCGAGAATAAAGAGGTTTTAAATAATGGGTGAGATGCTTATCGTTTAGAGGGTTGTCAGCTGTTGTGTGGTCAAGACTGCTTGAAGGTTGTCATCTGTCAGCTGTTGTGTGGTCAAGACTGCTTGAAGGTTGTCATCTGTCAGCTGTTGTGTGGTGGGTTGCACTGACTGTTTGGAAGACGGACAAGACATGTGTCTTAGCCGGAACATTATACACATTTAAAATCGTTTTAATAACTAGGAACGACTCAAACCATTCCACTCTTGATGGTTTAACTCTTAATGATGAAAGGCTCTTAATCTTATGACCTGGAGATACCATTTCTTTCCTGTAATCAGAAATAATTGCTTCCTGTTCCCCAGGCGTCGTGTGACCCTTGTACGAGGCACCAGTCGTGTATATAAAAATATAACGTTAAATTATCATATCTAAGTCACTACAAATGTAATCTAATATACATATTTATTACATTTTAGATAGATTACTCTTCAGAGGTCGGTTCTGTAAGAGGATCATTTAGATAAAACTATTAAACGCTGTTTATACGTGATTAAAAGAAGTGTTGAGGCTGCAGGATGTGACTTGGCCGACAATACTGCAGTCCTTGTGATACCACAACACTGCCTTGTTGCACCCCACAACCACCAACTCTCACCTTGACAAGGCACCATATTCTGTCACGGTACAGGACAACACACGTCTTGTACCAGGATATTTATCCACATGTTTCACTTGAGTTTTTTCAATCCACAGAGAAGCAGGATATAGTGATGTCTGGTGCAGAAGGCAGACCATTACTACTACGGAAAGTAATAGATTTTCTTGACACTATATTGGCTTACCTAGATAATTTACGTGTGTTATTATGTAGGACAATCGTAAAAATAAACTCGTGTAATAAAACTAAATAAATTTACTCGTGTAAGGGTTTAGTGTTTTGGTGACGTAGAATCTACGAAGCCAAAATTCGGTCATTTATGAAGTGTTGTGGGTGACACTCTTGGGGTTTTCACTCATAAATATTTACAGATTTTTGCTCTTTGGGTATCTCCTCTTTACTGATGATTTATATCTGGGGTGGATAGGTAACTTTGTTTTGTTGAACATAAAGAAGGAACACTGCAGCAGGCCTACTGACCCATGCGGAGCAGGTCCATGTCCCCTCCCCCCGGATTAGCCCAATGACCCACCCAGTCTGATCATCTCCACTCAAGGATGGAGCACTGCACCAGACCCAGCAGCACAA